GTTTCAAAAATATCTATTATATGAGATGTAGGCTTGACTATCCAGTGCACACATACACTGAATGATACTTGACAGCCCTGTGGAGCAATAAATCTGGCAGAAATCCACTAAGATAGTAGAATTATAACCTTGGTTTCTAATTCTAGAGCATGCAGGCATCCTATAGCCAAAAGAAGTATGAAAGAAAATCATAAGCCTTTTCAAATTCTGTACCTCAACCCATTCAATCTAAGTAATTTTGATTCATCTTGTTGAAAACATAAAACAGAAAAAAAAAAAAAAACTCTACTGGCCAGAGTATTACCCTCTGAAATTCCAGAGGGCCATTAATTTTGTCTGCGTATTGCTTCTTCAATTTTCTAGGCTTGCCCATATCCCCCTTAGAAGTAGGAGAAACAAAGATTGTGAATATTTACATTTAACTGACATGCAAAAATTTTTAAATTAAATTAAAATCCCTTTTTTAAAGTTAACTGAACATAAAGGGAGAGATTCTTTGAAATGTTAAACTGTGAAAATATTTTTATATAATCTTACAGAAATGCTACCTTTACTTCTGAAGCAGGTTATGACTACAAATAATAAAGCGTGTATTACAGAAAACTGAATTTTCAGGTAATCTATAGAATGTGATATTTTAAAAATAGGAAATGGAGGTTGTTCATGTTGCTTGTAAATGAAATCATGATTCTATGGGAAGCCACCACTATGGAAATTAATGGATGTCGTGCTGTTCACCTACTATTGTCATTTGGAAGCACACAGCATTTACCACAGAGTAGTCTTACTAGACAGAAAGCACCACATTCATTGATTTTAAATATATTAGAAGAACCTTTTATTTCAAACACTTGGCAAAGAGAAAGCTGGGTCCTAACATAAAGTACAGCACATTATTTCACAGAAGAAAAACTAAAATGACAGTCTATATCTAAGCCCTTATTTATGCTATTAATTTTAACCCTGAGGTGATCTAACTTCACACTTCTTTTCCAATTAATATCTGGAATAAAAGGAAAGATGCAAGCATTAGCACAGCTTAGTTTTAATCTTAAATATCTTTAGTTTCTCCTCATTATTTTTTTCCTCTGAATATCTCTACTTTTACTTTATTTTCCTTATTGTTTTTCTCTGTGTCAAAATGTAATATACTAGTGATATATATTTTTGCCATAAGAAATGGATCATAAATATGCATGCTTTTTTTAAAAATAAAAATTTAAAGATAATGTCTGGGAGAGCATCTCTCTGTTGTCCTGTAATGTGAGGACCAGTCACACTTGGGGGTTCTGTACTTGTCACTCTCTCTGACTCGTTACTTTGAGCCAATGTGACCCTTCTGGTTGGCTGCCCCCCAGGCAGATATGTGAGAGCCTAGGGGAGCCCATGAACTTGGTCTCTGTGCCTTTTCTTCCTCATCCCTAGTAGAATGGGTTAATAGTGACCCCTCCTTCTCGGGGTGATTGTGAGATTAAATGGATTAATAAGACCTGGCCAGAACTTCACACACAGCCAAGTGCTTGTTGGGTGGTAGGTGGGATGTGATAGGCATCCCTAACTGTCTTTGCTTCCTTCAACACTGGCCCACCACATCACAAGCGTTTCAGCTGAGGCCACAGTGCTCATTCCTTTCCTTCTGTCCATATCAGAGGTTGACCAACAAGAGCCACCTCTGGGTGGAGGAGGAAGTCTGGTGCATGGAGATATACCTCTCACTGGGAGTGCTGGCCCTCGGTATGCTGTCCCTGCTGGCTGTCACCTCATTGCCATCCATTGCAAACTTGCTCAACTGGAGAGAGTTCAGCTTCGTGCAGGGAAAGCAGATGTCTCCAGTGCAAGTGAATGCAGAGAGGGCCCAGCCCACCTGTCTTGTGCAAGTGCCTTTCCCTCCACAAACTGCCTTGGCTTTGATCATGGGCACAGCAGGGCCACCACCTGGATGCTGGGCTTCCCATCTGCAGGTCCCTCTCAACTTCCTGTTGAAGAGCTACCCACACAGGCTCATTTCTTGACATCAGAGAAGCCAGACAGAGGCACCTGGAAAGACTAGAGCAGAGCTCTGAACCCTCATCAGGCATGCTCAGTTTCTGCCATCCTCGAGATTTCCAAACAAAATTCTATCATGTGTGGTCATCTGACAGTGCAGTGGTCTAGATGGGAGTCAGTGAACTATGAGTGAGCTTAGTCCACCACCTGCACCCTCTTCTCAACCTGGTGCTCTTGTTCCCTGCAGCCCTTGATGCTTACAGGGTGAAAGAGAGGTGAGCATGAGCGTCACTGTTTATAAGGGATGAGGTGGCATTTCCCAAAGGGCACCATTCCTGGAGAAATAGCCACAGATAGGAGGGCTGGGGCCTCGGATGTGGCTCGGGGATCAAGCAGGTGCCTCGAATGACAAGGCCCAAGTTCTATCTTCACACCCACGCTACTGGTGCCCTGTGTTGTCATCCTGGCCAAAGGCCTGTTCCTGCTACCCTGCTTCAGCCTCAGACTCACCAAGATCCAAAGAGGCTATAAATATGCATGCTTTTAATAAAGTCAAGATCTTGATTCTATCATCCATATTTTTCTCTTGGAGAAGGCTAGGATTGAGTTGAATTGTCTGACTTAATGATTTTAGATTATGTTATGGTGAGAGTTAAGAGAACTTCTGTCTACTGAGGTTGATTGCTGATTTGACAGGAGATCATAGATTTAGGTGTATTTTGTATCATTATGATGCTAATGTTTCTGGTTCTAAGACTGTTGTATCAAGCTCTTAGCATTCAATGGTACCATTGGAATTGGTTACTCAATTCACAAAAGGCTGATATATACACTAATATGCCAATTTGTTAAGTAGAACTAAAACTCTGAAAAGGAGCCAAATATTCTCTCCATAAGAGGAAATGACCATTGACTGCCAAACCTCCAACAGATATGTACTTGAGTATGACATTGTGGCAATGGGAGACAGCTGGATTATTTGGGATGATGCTTAGTGTGACAATTTGATGGATCCTTATTTGGTGTAAGGCTTTACATGGAGGTTGAAACAAATATCTCTGAAATAGGTCAGCATACCTTCCTTTAATGAGTGCAGAATATGCATTAAGAATTATTTCTTATCTATGGATATCCCTTTCTCTAGACTTTATAGAAGCTACATTATTGTACACAAAATTTTTAAATGGAGAACAAGGAATTGTTTAGGTTTTGTTTTAATTGCGATCATATTCATATCCAACTTTGAGAGTCTATGTTCTGAGGCTAATTGGGATTTGACATTTCTAAACCTTTATTTCTCCCACAGCTATTTACAATATCTTCTGGTTTCTCCCAGTCCATTTGTATGGATTTTACTTCTGCTACAGAGCTTGATTCCATTGTAATTTCCATTACTACTACTATTCCCATTATAATTCTGATTGCCATAATTTATTCCAGCAAAGAAGTATGAGTATAAACCAAATGTCAGGTCTTATTTAATCTTCATAGAACATGTTTACAGTATAGGTATACTTATTGCTTTAATATTCATTTTATAAGTAAGGAAACTAAGTTTTACAGAAGAGTAAGGTTAATAGAAATGAGAAAAGCTGAGATTTGAAGTCAGATATAGTTGCCATTGATCTAGATGCTAACTTAAAGTAATTTTACTCTGATTTTACGATAGTGGTCTTTAATGTCTAAGTCTTAGAAATGTCAGTAAGCCATCTGGGAGATTTTTTTAAGTAAGCTAGAAAAATAGAGTGGAGTCTGAAAGTTGTTTTGGAGCTTAGATTTTTCTAGGTAAAATATTGCAAAGTAGATTGCTGCTGTAATTTATGTAGCTTTAAATCCACCAGGGTAGAGTGACCCTAGTGAAATTGCTTGCCATGTTAGATTTGTCATAAATATTCTCTGAGAATATTTATAGAGTATGGTAAGTGCACATGGATCTTAGTGAAGTATAAAGCTTTAAAGACAATGTGCTTGTTCCAAAGAGCTTGTGATCAAATTTAGATGTAGACCGGATGCTAGATACCTATAAAATATTAACAGAGAGTTGGTTGATTGACTCATAACTTCACTCATGGTATCATAAATCAGGTGGTAACATTCTAAGTGTCTAATGAGCAGCTGGATAGATCAGCAAGACTACGTTCTGCTTACTATGATAAAAGCAGGTGGTTTCATTTTGAAATAAAATGGGAAACAGTCAAAAAGAAAGGGAAAAAATGCTATACAACCAAGCATCTTGGAAGTAACAAGTGTAGAAAGTCATACTCAGTAGAGACCATTTGTTTTTGTTCAATAAGGTAATCACATTTTATACCCAAGAAGGGTTATTTTAAAAGAAAATTAAAATGATAATTTTTATCAGTTAGTTATTTTTACTTGTAAGTTAACAGTATGTGTACTCTTAGAAGCCAACTAAAAGTAGAGGAATATGGATGCAGTTGCTGAAATAAAGAGAAATATATAGTAAGGAAGATGGTACACTGGTGTGGATTGTCAACTGCTACAAGAGGCTGAGATTTCAAATTTATATGGCTCATTATTGACTTCCATCATCCCTAACATGCATAGTACTATAAACACACAGATTTAAACATGGAAAAAGACCTCCCCTTCTACTATTTTTGTTAAGACATGGAGAGAAAATAAAAATTGCCGTGACCCGCACAACAGAGTCCGAAGCTGCAGAGAGCGGTGGGAGATGAAGAAAAAGCAAAGCAACAAAGACTATTCTTGAAAGTTGGAACCAAGTGGAACCACAGCTTGTCGGGGTCCAATGGCCACCTGGAGTACCACACACTCTTTATTTATAATGGAAGGCAAACAAGAAGAGAAGGCAGGGCAAATAGTGCTACATGACCTACGTGGCCTAGGCGGAACACAGTGTGATTGTTTCGTGATCGGAGCATGCGTAGGAAGGGATACGTAGTATAATTGCCTCCTGGGGCTGTGCTGTCCAAGTTCTACATCTGTTTGACTGTCTAATCTGTGGAGGAGAGAGGGAGTAGGGAGGAGAAAGGGAATAGGGAGGAGGCAAAGGACCATCTTCAGGCTCTGCTCATGGCAAAAAAATCTCTCTTCTCCCTTTAAGCTTCCTCTTTTGCACCAGCTTCTCTGCTAAGCCTGTATGTTTCATCCCATTTTTTCCTTCGTGTACTAAGCTGATCAGTCAGACTCCAGTCCAGGGAGAAGTGGGCGTGAAGTTACCAGCAGTTCTGAGTGGCCAAGTATAAATCAGTGAAAGTATCAAAAAGTCTGACTGTGGCCAGGTACTTAATTTGTTGTCCCAGCTAGCCCATCTTTATAATGCAATTTTTCTGTCTGAGTTGATGTTTTGCTCTCAAAAGTTGATTCAAAACTGAGAAGGAAAGAAAAGGTGTCTGATTAAACTCCAATATATATAACGAATGTCTACTGAATAACTGATCCAGGTAAATTGTCCACTAAAAAGATGAAAAGCTGGGCTGGGATGTAGCTTAGTGCTAGAATGTTTGCCTAGCATGTGTGAGGATTTGAATTTAGTCCTCAGTACCAAACATAAATAAGTAAATAAATAATGAGAAAAGCTGATTAGTTTTAATTTAGTATGTTTATATCTTTATTTTAAATGATCATATATGTCATATATATCTTTTTAAATTTCCTGTTAGATCTTCTTTCATTAGGTATTGTTTCACAGTCTCTCTTTCAAGTCAAGATCTGTATTCATCCTTGTAACAACTAATACTTAATGTTTGCAGGTGTGTAATAGGTTCAAACTATATTTAGTATTTAACAATCTTGAATAGACTTAGTTCTAAATGATACACTTAATTTATACATATACTTTACAGAGCAATACTAAAATTAATATTTATATTTATTCTAGAATTGGCCATACCATGTAGGATCACTAAAAATATTTTCCAGAAAAAAACTAAAAATTTTAATATTTGGAATGTCAGTATATAAATATATAATTAGAGATATGTTGCATTAAAAACTGACTGCAAGACATTGAATTCTGAAATAGAGAAATGAGAAGTAAAAGTGCAATAAACTTTTACCAACAAATAACTGTGTAAATGGAGAGAAATATTTTTAAAATCATATTTAAAGTATAAAAAAATTAGCTGCTGGATATGGAAAAAGGAAAAATATTTGCTCAAAGAAATCCACTATATCTTGATAAGAACAATAAGCACCATTGGCTTTCAGCTGTGAGCTCCCTCTCACCCTGAATTCTTTTTTTCCACAAACTATTCTAAGGTTCCACACTGGAGAAGAAAGCCACAAAGACTGGGGCTAACCCTTTCCCAGCATCCAATTACAAAGTAGAAATAATACTTTAGAAAAAGTGAGCAATGTCTCTGTATCTGGTCTTCATGTAATTGTACAGTGGTCCTTGCATTTGAGGAGAGGCAGGCCAGACAGGCAAGCCTTAAAAAACATTCTTAGTTATGTGTGAGGCAGCTTACTTTATTTAGAGGAGAGTGGATAAAATTCTGCAAAACGAGATGATGTAAAAAACAATGGAAATCTTAGTGGCCAGCCCTTAAGTAGTCCTTTTATAGCTCCATGATACAAGTACATAAAACTGCAGAATGATCAAATGTTTAACAGAAAGAACTCATAGTCCTTTTGACAGTACAGTCTACCCTGCAAGTTGAGAAGATTGTACAAGTGCACTAGGCTGAAGCTGCTCAAAAGCATTCATGGCAAACTTGAAAACCCTTCCAAATATCAAGGACAGATCCATTAAAAGAGTGGAAACATGAGGACTTAGGCATTATCTTTGCCCAATTGTAGAGGGACATTAGGTAGGCAGGTAAGGATTTACAAGCTGATGGTCTACTATAAATTTTTTTGTCAAGAAACATAAACACGTTATAGTGAACCAAAGGAGTAATTTCATTATGAACACACAATCCAAAGACAAATTCAGGGCAAGTAAAAAGAAAATAAATAAATAAATAATTTGGAGCAAAAATAAATGAACAGAAACAAAAATATGAACTCAAAAATTGGTTAGCAGTGATCAACAAAATTGATAGACCTTTAGAGCTACCAAGAAAAAATTAGATAACCAAAATCAAGACTGAAAGAGAATGTGTCATTATTAAACTGGGAGAAATAAAAAGTCACATGGGAATACTTTGTAAAACTCTTGTCAAGTTAGGTAAACGATAAAATGGATAAGTACACAGAAAAACACAAAATACTGAACAAAAACCTGAATAGACCTATAACTGTTAAAAGATGAAAAAGGAAAATTCAAGTCACAAACCAAGATGACTTCACTGGTTAATGCCACTCAATGTTTAAATAAATTTTAGTATCTTTTACAAACTCTCCCAGCAGCCTTTACTCCCCACAAAGGCCATATAGAAAGATAAAGAAAGGGACATTTTTCAATTCTTTCCATAGGGCTATTATTACCTGATAATGAAGCAAGCTAGTCCCTTCTCAATTTGATAAAGAGCAACTACACAAAACTTAATGTTAACATCATACTTAGTAAAAGATAGAAAACTTCTCCAAAGACGATAAAAAAGGGACGAGCACTCTCTTCGTTTCTCTTCAACATTGTATCGATGGTTCTTGCCTGGTCCAATTGGCAAGAAAAAACAATAAAAGGTAACCAGACTGCAAATTAAGGATTACATTTTTCTCTATCTACAGATGACATGATTTAAAAAATACCCATGAACAATACACATACATCATTAAAAATAATAGCCAATTTTACCAAGATGCAGAATACAGTACCAATAGACAATTTTATTTATATTTCTTTACACTAGTAACTAATGATCCCAAACTGAAATTTAAAAAAACAATTGTCTACAAAAGCATCAAACACTGCAATAAATTAAATGAAAGAAGAGCAAGATCTTTTTGATGAAAACTACACATTAACTAAATATATTGAAAGACATCCCACGCTCATAGATTAAAGATGTTACAATGGGATTTTTTCTCAAATTTGTTCTACAAACTCTAAGTGATTCCTATTAAATTCCCATCTTGCTTTTTCAAGCAAAAATGGCAAACTGATTCTAAAATGTGTGTGTGGGCGTGTGTGTGTGTGCGTGCGTGTGTGTGTGTGTGAGGGAGAGAGAGAGAGAGAGAGATACAGAATAGACAAAATAATCTTTAAAAAATCAAAAATCAAATTTTGACTCATTTTCCTCGATTTTATACTTACTATAAAGGCAATGTGGTACTAACATTTAGATAGATATGTAGGTCACTAGAGTGAAATTTTGAGTTGTAAAATAAATTTCATCTTGCAGTCAATTTAGTTTCAGCTCATGGAGAAAGAATACACTTTTCAACTAATAATAATGGGACAATTGGAGGTACACATCAAGATGAATGTGGATGATTCTTCCTTAATGACTTATAGCTTTTACACACAAGTAGTAAAGTATAGTGTTTACAAAATGAAATTAACTCAAAACACAGCAAACCTAAATCTAAAGATTGAAGGTATAAAATTCTTGGAAATAAACATAGTAGTAACTCTTGGTGTCTATCTATTCTGTAAGGGTTTCCTGGGTTTAATACCAAAAGCTATATAAAGAATTTTTATGACTTAATGATTAAAATAATAATTAGTAACAAGACTAAATGTTATTTATTATTTAATTATTGAGTAATAATCATGTTCAATAATTAAACAATAGCAATCACGAACTGGAAAAGGTTTTGAAGAGGTATTTCTCCAAACATATACAAATGAACACATAGAATATGTTTAATATCATTACCCATTAGGTAAATGCAAACTAAAATTATGATGAGATCATTCTTTATATCTTCTAGAATGTCAGTAATGAAAAATAGAGATAATATATGCTGAAGAAGATGTGGAGGTAATGGAACTTTTATAAATATCCTTTTAAAGGTAAAAAATTAACTGTTGCAGCCATTTGGAATACATTTTGGTCTTTCCTAATATTTACATAGAGTTCCTAGGTCAGCCAGCAATTCTACTCCTCGTATATTTGAGAGAAATGAAATCACATACATCAAACTTGAACAAAAATGTTCAGAGCAGCATTATTTGCAGTAGATAAAAAAAATAGAAAAAGAATAAATATCCCATTGTGGTTTTTTTGTTTCTTTTTTTAAAAAATTATATCAAACTGGGTAGGCCACAATCCTGTTATTAAATCAAACATCTATCTTAAGTGTTTTTGTGAAGTTATTTCATAGCATAGAAATCCATATTGGGTTGACATTTAGTAAGAGAGTTTATTTTGCATCATCTGAGTAGGCCTGACTCAATCAGTTGAAAGGCCTAAAGAGAACAGCTAAAGCTTTTCAAATGAAGAAATTCTGCTTTTGGTAACAACTGCTTTATCCTTTTCCTGGGATAGTCTAGAAAATTTTCTGTTAAGAGGAAGATATGGCAAACCTTAAGTAACTAGAGTATTGGGTTGAGGGCACATAAGAGTTCTTTGTACTAATGTGACAATATTTTACATTTAAATTATTTAAATATGTAATATTTTTATAAACAATGAAAAAATTCTAGAGTTTTTAACTTAGTCCATGACCTTCATTTACAAATCTAAAATTGAATAGGTCTGAGAAACAAAGAAAGAAACAAAACAGGTTTAAAGGCTTTGTGTTTGTTTTTGCTTCCATGAATTATTCTATTTAAAATGTAGAAGCCTGGGTTTAAGGGTTTAAAAATAAGTGTCAAGAAGTTTCTACACCTAACTTAATAAGAAATCTGGGCTTCTCAAGTAGTTTTTATTTTATTTTCAAACAGCTTTCAACATTGTGTTTTTAAACAATTTTTATTTTAATTTCCCTACATTTTATTAGCACATATTGATTATACAAAATAATACATTTAACTTTGGAAGATTTGTACACCTGACCTACTTTATTGTTTCTTTCCATCACCCACTTTAGCTCATCCAAAGCCCTAATTTCACTTTTTTTTTTTTTTTGGTGGAGGAGGTCAGTGTGTGCAACGTATTTTGATCTTATTCATGCCCACTGTTACCTTCCCTTAAGCTTCTCCTTCCTCTCCCTTCTTTTCCTCATATGTAATTATAGTCTTCTTTTTACTTTCTTGCCATCTTTTTGTTGTTGCATGTATTAGAGAGAATATTTGATATTTGTCTTTCTGCGTCTGGCTTATTTCGCTCAACGTGATGATCTCCAGAATCATTTATTTTTCTCCAAATGACAAAACTTTTTTTTAATGCCTGAATAATATTTAACGTGATGAACAAGGATCCTTATATGATACTCAGCACTGAAAGCACTCTGTGATGAAAGTTCTCCTTGTCTAAAGAACAAATGATATGTAAATATTACCTGAATCTTAGCTTACATTTTTCTTTAGTTATTTCATACAATGAATTTCTTTTTAAATCAATTCAAATGATTTCTTTTCTAATACTGATAACTTTTAGGGTCAGAATTTAATAGGAACTTTTATTTTTTGCCCTAGCAAATAATTACTTTTGGGTTTTGCCTTTGTTTTTTAGATTCATTTAATCACATATGACTCTAATCATGGGTGAATCCAATGCTTTCAAAAACTGGATGTTTATTTTGTAATAGCAACTCAACATTTGAATTGGCAAATGGGTTACCATTTAATTTGATGCTGTTGTTCCTTTGCATAACATTAGCTTCTATTGTGGTGTTGGAAGTCTTTCAGTGTGAAAAATCAATATGATATGAAAAGGCTAATATGGCGTAAATTATATCGTTATGACCTGGCCAGAAAAGCTGCTTCATGACTTCATTCAGTTTGTGTTGTGAAAACAAGTCAGATTTGACACACTGCCAAAGGCAATGCCCTGTTTACATTTACAGAATCATGAACCAAGGAAAATTGTAAATTGACTTACTAGTGCATGATTCAATTTTTAAGATAGAAAAATCCCTTGACATATTTTTAACCCTCTTTGAAATAAACCTCCAATTAATTCTTCATCATAAATTGAAAGTGATTCTAAAGTTCAACAATAGCATGTTCTTTGTCACCAAACTAATTTGCTCAGAGTATATATATGTGGGTTTAAGTAGATATTGTTTAAAATCCTATATCATATCTGCACCTTGGCATATCTGATCACAAATAAAATATTTATGCTTCAAAATCTCCCCCCTTAGAATTTCTCTAAAGTATTATGTGGCTTAATTAATAAGAACATATTTATAACATATCAGTTATAGTATGTCTATGAGCCATTCATAATTTTTGAATCTTTCTTTTTGTCCTTTCCCTATTGTTGGATAGTTCTTATAAATTTGTGCTTCAATGGTTTCTTACCATAATTTTGCATTGAAATTAAGGTAAAATATTTGATGAAATTATGCTTTGGGTCAATAAACTACTTTCTTTCATAATTTTCCCATTATTCCAAGCTTCTTCATGTCTAGATTATGCTTTCTTTATTCAAGGGAAAAGGTGCATTGCAAATAAAAGTACTTGAACATGACAAGAAATCAACTAAACTTGAACTTTGTCTTCTGAACATAATTTGGAATTAAACTACATGTTTTGGGCAATGTTAATTATTTTTGTTCTATGGGTTCATATGTGAAGAGTCCATCTTTTATTAAATAAACACAAAGACAACCCAGGAGGATGATGTTCTTTAAGCTGAGTGGTCTGTGCAGTCTATAAAAATGCCTTCATGAAATGTATTGCAATTAGCTTCATTTATGTTTGGACCCGGTAAAGGCTCTTCCTGTGTACATCAACTGTCACTTACATAATGGCAAAAGGAATCCAGAAGAAACCAAGAGTCCCATAAAACAGTGAAAGTGTGAAAACAGAAATGAGCAATATAAAGGCCAAACATTGAGAAGGAAAGGTTGGAAGTTTCTCACATTGTTTAGCCCTTTCAAACTTCCAGGATTTTGATTATGTTTTCTCTATAGGCCAGATGCATCTGTACACTTCAGTATATTTAAAATAGAGACTAAAGACAATAGCAAATAAATGTGCATAAAATTGCTAAATTCATACTTAAATAATTTTACATAATTGATTATGAACTTTATATTCAGTAAAATAATATAAACATTCAGTACATTTTGATGCCTATATAATGAACAATATATTTCTTTCTCATTTTAATTAAGAAATTATTAAATTTCCTTTTCTAGTTTGGTGATATAGATTCATTTATTTTCTCCATCTTTTTGTGCTGGTCTGCTCTGAGAGTTTCTCAATCTAGTAGGAATTGATCTGTTAACTCAGTTTACTCTTGTGTACATTCTTCTATTCATCCAGTTTAATATGCTTTATTACCAATATTGTTCTTTTAAATTTCTAAAGTCCAGAATATACCTGATAAGCATACAATATGTCCCAATTCTATAGTCCATCTATCTTATTTCATCACTTGGCACAAGTCCATGAAATAGATACTGAGGAACACTGTAAGTTTAGATTTAAGAAAGTAACTTGTCAATATTTTAAAGAAAACCCACCAGTTCCATTCAGTGTTCTTTGTTTTAAAAATTCATGAAACGTTTAGAAAATAGAAGAATAAAATATTTGAGGTTTAAAAAGATAACAATATAGCCGAGCAGGGAGTCAAACTGGTGAGGTGAGGTATCATTCAGGTAAGAAAAGAGGAGAAACTGACATCAGGTAAAAATTACTAAGTAGGAAGACTTCTAAGAGTCCCCTGATTAGATTGTAGTGTTCCGATGGTTGAATGTACTGGGGAAATGTAGAAGCAGAGAAATGAGTCATGGATAAATCTGAGGTTTTCTTTTTATGCACATTGATTATGCAATGCGGAGACATTGGCTCAGATTGAGAGCTTGGGGGAGAAACACGATTCAATTTGAGGGTTGAGGAACAGCATGAGCCATTTTGGAAATGGTAGTTTGAGTTACATTTTAGTAGGAAGTCAGAAATACAGGTGTGGGATGGCTGAAAAGGGCTGATGCTGAAAATGTATAATTAGAATTCATTATAATAGAGATTTTAGCTAAAGCCAAGAAAGCAGATGTGCCTACCCAGGGAGAAAGCAAAACATAAGAAAGGAAATCAGAAGTGCTCCAAAGCAGAGAGTCAACAGTACATAAGAGAGAAGAGGAAGGCAACTGAGAATGAGCAAGAGAGACATAGGTGACATCCTCCCAGGGACCTCTGCAGAAGAGTTCTGATTACATTTGTTTACCAGGCTGGCTCAGCAATAATTGATGCTGATGAACTGAGTTACTTGCAGATCACAGATTCTGTTGTGCCTTTGACGCTGGGAATTAAACAGCTTCTCTGAAGATCTGCAAACAAAAAGGAGGCGTTGAGGAATTTGAATGCCATCTTTATGAATAAAGTACTCAAGCTTGTATAAATGCAATCTGGGGACTTGCTTTAACCATTTAAAAACAGAAGAATATTTCTCTACTTGCAACTAAATGTCTACTTTCTTTTCTGTGATAGTTTCAAGAACTCACTTTTATAGATTAAAATAGTGTTGGTCCTGGCAGCATACCAGGACAAGGGCTTGGTTATATGGAACCAGGAAAGACCAGGTAAAAACGAGTTCCTTCAAAAATTACTCAACAAGTGGAGAAATTCTACTTTTAATATAAAATCAACAAGTAGAGAAGGGAAAAGCCTATATGCATCTCAGAAAGAGGTTTACCATTATCGTTTCTCTCTTGTTTCCTTGTTCATATGGATTATAATGATAATGGTTGCATTAGTTCAGAATATTGCTTATTTCAATAATAAAATTCTGTTTGTTGACTATTCTTTAAATGTATTTTTTCTCAGTGCTGTTAAATTCCTATCAATCTATTTTTCTGAGAAGAATTGTGTATCTAGGTAAAAACTCAAAAGAATACTCATTTTAAGAAAACTTATGACCTCTCATAATTGGTGTCCAGTTACTGTTGACCATTAGGGACAGAATCATGGCACCCAGGAAGAGCCAAAACCAATGAATATGGAATTTTTTCTCCAGGCTCCACTGAGTTAGTGGTTGTACCTTAGTCTTTGTTTTAGTCACTTTCTCATCACTGAGCACAACACCTAGCACCTGCAACTTAAAGGAGGAGAGGTTTATTTTGGCTCACATTTTGGTCTTTAGTCAGTGGCTCCAATCCAAGGTAGCATGGAATAGGAGCATGGTGGAGAAATAGCTGTTTGCCCAGGTCAAACTCCCAGTGACACACCTTTCCTGACCAGACCTGCCCTAATAATAGCAAGTCATCTATAAGCCTCCATAATCCAATCATCCTCTAAAAGCCCCACATATGAGTGCAGAAGACTTTGGTGGATATCTAGATATAAACTATCCCAGTCATCAAGAACGTCTGCAAGTCAAATCAAAATATCTCCAATAATTGGTTTCAAAAGCCAATATTAAAACAAATTTAGTTATAAATCTAATATATTTATTTGTGATTCATGGACTAGAACAACATCTATTCTATAAAATAAAATTAGAGCTCTCATAAGGCAATAGCAGAAAGTAGGTTTTGTTATGTGGGAGCAAGGAGAAAGGATAATAGGGAAAAATCTGTTTTAACAGGAGGCTATTTTAGGTTATTTTCTTTTCATAAAGTTTAAAATGATGAAACTTCCTAGTACACAGACTCAGGAAAACAGGAGTCTCTGTTAAAAAAAAAACACAAAACCTTTATTTGGAAATTTGCTTCTTAAAAGCTTCAGTTTGATTATGCAGCATTTATCATAAATGACACCATTTTGGTTTTATCTGGTTTGTTGGGGCCTCAGGCTCAAGAGCTCAATCTAAAACAATGACTTGCCCTAATTTTTGTTTAACACTTGTTCAGCTACACTGAAAATCAATAGTCATCTCAGGAAAATGGTGAAGCATCATTAATGCGGAGTTTGAAGACCTTGGTTTCATTATCTGTGTGTCAGTTTTACTCTTCCTGGAGCACAATATCCAACACACACAACTTAAAGAAGTAAGGTTTAACTTGGGTCATGATTTCAGAAGATTCAGTCCCTGGTGATCTGAGTCCAAGGCCAAAACATCAGAGAGGAAGGAGATGGCAAGCAAGTATGTTCAGTTCATGATGGGAGGGAAGCAAAGGAAGGGCACACTGTCAAAGAGGAAAGGGTTAAGGACCATATATGTACCCTAAGGTTATTACTTCATGACTCACCCAGACACACTGTTCTGTGTGATTCACTATTTCCCTTCCAAGTCATTCAAGTTGACACTCTAGTGATATCATTACCATGCTGTTTAACTTGATATCCAAACACATCTCTTTAAAACATACTTAATCTATAGACACAAGATTATAATTTGCTTAGCATTATACAAGCATCCCACATACAGCTGATCTACAATAATCCTTTCCCCAATGTCTCAACAGTCTCAGCATTTCTAAAACAGCCAGGTCAAAGATTCCCCTCAGACTCAAAGTAAACTTTTAGCAGTGAAGCCCTGTAAAATTAAAAAACAAGTTACATAATTCCAAAGAACAGTGGTACAGGTTAAATATTTCCATTCCAAAAGGGAGGAAATAGGACTTCAAAAAAAAAAAAAAAAAAAAAGACAAAGCAACACCAAAACCCAGCAAGGTAGCATTAAGCACTGTAGCTCTACATACAACATATGAGCAAATGTTGGCAAAATATGAGTTCCAGAGGGCTTGAGCATCCCTACCTCTGTGTCCTTGCTCATTGCTACCCACATGGCTTCTCTCTTAGGCTGGCTCCTCTCACAGTTCTTCAGCTTTCTTCAATAGATGTTCCACATTCCTGTCATCTGCAACTTATTGGGATATTAATAACACCTTTGGCTTTATTCCCACAGCTTCCTGCCCTATCCTCTCATGGACATATTACCTGGCCTGCAAAACTTTCCTTTGAAAGCTGAGTAGAAGCCCTCATCACCCAACAACTCTTGCATTTTTCATGCCAGTAAAACTAGTATAACTTGGACAATGCTAACATCTCCTGTCATTGGAAGCAGTGCTATGATCCTTTGGCCATGGCTTTTCATGGCCTCAGAGTGCCTAGATGGCTGAACAGAATGAAATGAATCCCTATGAACCAATTTCCTAGGAGGCTCTTCTTTAGCAGGGATCCCAGCAACTCTCTTTTCAAATGCAAGACCCTTGAGTCTATGATGGATGAGACCTTGTTGATTTCTGAGATGGACTCAAAGCATCTTTCTTTCTATATCTATCTGTACAGAGTTCTTGTTTTCTTTTTAATGGCACTATTGTCTTCAGCAAACACAATACCTTTGGCCCTAATTTTATACATTTTCTTTAAGGCTGGAATTTAAATTTTTCATTTTTTTGTTGTTGTTTTGCTTTTTGTTTTCAATTCTTATTTTAAATCTGGCTAAAAGTAGCCAGCAGTTTTTTATGCCACAGCCTGAACAATGAGCTACCCTGACATGTCTTCTGTGAGATCTGTGAGATTAATTAGTCTAAACCCTTTGTTTTGATCTCTGGTGAAGTCTCAGTTCACAGGCAAAATGTAG